CAATAACATCCACGACAACGATTTCAGTACCTTGTGTAATTCACAAACACACAAGCATATCCCAAACACTGGAACGAACAACTTCTAATCCACAGAATCTAATCAAGACAATTCCTTCGATTACAATTCCTCTCCACTAAACTTACAACCTTGCGATAAACAGTGACTGAAAACTTCCATACGTCCTCAATCTTTCAAAACAATTGATAAAAAATGATCCATAAATAACTTCGTAAATCAAATATTAATTCATTAAATTGATTCTCTTCACTAGAATCAACACTAACACAAAAGAAACAAGAAAACTAAGAAGAAGAGATAGCACCAAGCTTATCTCCGGCTCAATACTATCGCAGTCTGGCCCTCGGCTTACAACTCTCACAGTCTGGTATTTTCTTCCCTTCTTTCATCCTCCTTATACTACCCCGAGATACCAACTCCTATACTACAGATGATAACTACTTTTTCTGACTATTCATCCATTCTACCTGCTGAACCACCTTTTCAGCAGTTATCTATCCCTGTTTACACTATATACTAGGTATCTAGATTCTGAAAATAACTACTTATTCTACAAGATGTGTCTACCACTTTTGGGCCTCCTTCCACCTGGTTAAGAGGGCTTGGGTGACCAAGCTCCCTCTCTCTCTCCATCTTCTTGTGGCAAAGCTATGGCAAAATGTTCCCCCATCTTGTGAAAGCAAATCTTCTTCTTTAAACTAGTATGGCTTCGGTTTTTACTTGCTCAATATATCTCTTTTTATTTTATTTCTATGAAACTTTGTATACAAATTCTACTCACCCTTAGCTTTGTAACAGCATAAGGCATGTCTAATTTGAAGTTATGACGAATTTTTGGTGAGTTTTCAAGGTTGTAGGGGTCTATTGCCTTGGTAGAGTAGGTGCGTCGGCTTAAAAAATCTATAACTCGGTAACCTGTGACTCAAATTTGATGTAAATTATTAGAAAGAATGAATTCTAAAGCTTAGTTTACTAAAAAATTTAAATCACTAATTTTAGATCTATATAAAATTTTTAATGAATTTTTAAATGCAAAGGAATCTGCTGCCTTGGCAGTGTTGAACAACCAACTTTGAAACATTGTATCTTAGTACTTACTTACACTTTTTTTGCTGAAATTTGTTGGAAAAGGAAATATACTAAGTTAGGTTTTAGGAAAAAATTATACTTGTCAATTTTAAACTAATAACTGATTTTTATAAATTTTTGAGTAGAAAGGCGTCTGCTGCCTAGGCAGCTCAAGACGCCTTGCTTTGAAAACACACATCTCAGATGTCAAACCTCGGATCACCACGAAATTTGGTAGGTAGGAGCAACTCTAAGTCAACCTCAACCACAAAAAATTTCAAGTGCATAGGAGCTGTGTGAAAATGTTAGCAAATTTTTGAATGACAAGGGATTTGCTGCCCTCAACTTGACATAATCTAAGTAAATTTTCCTTCCCTGATCACCCTCTAATCACATCCCTTAGCACCTAAAATGCTATATTATCACTCATTTGTCTTATTATCAGTAATTAATTTTATTTGATAATTTCAAAGAATTTTCACCTCACTTTGGAAATTAATTTTAAATTCTTATCTTTCCATCCATTCTTATTCTTTAAGGATAAAAATAAATAAATAAATAAATAAATCAAAATTAATCTTAAACTCTGAAAATTATCTGATCTTTTAATTTTTTCTTATTTATTTTAACCTTAACCTTTTAAATTTTACTTTTAACCTTCAACTTTAAACTTTTACTTTTAATCTTAAACTTTTTATTTTTATTTTTAACCTTTAACTTTAAACTTTTACTTTTAATCATAATCTTTTACTTTTGCTACTTTTAAACTTTTACTTAACTTTTAATTATTAATTCTAAATTTCATTTTAATTTTAATTTTTAATTTTGTAATCTTCCAACTTTCATCTTTTATCTTAAAAAAAATCTTAACATCATGTTAGTGCTGAACTTAAATATTTAAGGCTGTTTATAACTAAATTTCTAATTCTAGATGAAGTTTTGTCAAAAAAAATTTGTCCGTAGATAACTTCTTATATAGAACTACAATTTACATGGTTAATACCACCTTAGAAAGTCCTAAGCTAGCACTCTAGCATGGTATTCATTATTTTTATTTTATTTTATTCTAATTCATAATTTTCAGAGTTTAAGTTTGATGGAATATGTCTTGGAAGGCACTTAACTAAATGAACTACAAATGCTAAAAATTAAATCATAAAAAGATGCAACTAACTTGTTGTGTTGTTGGATTAATCTTGATTATTATATCATTTTGGTTTTCCTACCTTATAGATGATTTGCATCTCCACATTAATTAATATTGGGCTCTAATATAAGTTATAGTCTAATTAAATCAAATTTAAGTGAGGGGAGAAAAATCCACTCACACCTCAATACTTGCATAAGTCTTCTTTGATCACCATGGATTACCTCATGTCATTGTTTCAAATTGGGATCTATGTTTCACGAGAAGTTTTTGATAAGCCTTGTTTAAGCTACTAGGTACATAACTTGCGATATCTATAGCCTTCCATCTCCAAATAGATGGGCAAATAAAGCATACAAATCGGACCTTGGAAGATATGCTAAGGATATTTGTGATAATTTATCATAATGATTAGAATGAATAATTCACACCCTTGGAATTTGCTTACAATGATAGTATTCAACCAAGTATTAGTTATTCACTATTTTTCTTTAATACTACTTAGCATCCAATTATGCTAGCAACTCTCTATTGTCTCATTGACACCAATAATTCAATAACAAAAGAATTGATACAACAACTTACAATAGCCTTGCAAAAACATTCCCGCCTCCTTATCCCATAGAATCAACAAAAGCAATATGCGGATAGCCACCAGCAACATAAGACCTTTCGTGAAGGTGATCAAGTGTTATTCTCTAAAGCCAACTTGCCACTTATTACATCAATCTAAATCCATAAACTAGCACCTCGATGGCTTGGACCTTTCTGTATTTTTAAAGTTATTTTTTTATGTTGCATACCACCTTGAGCTTTTGCCACATATTCAAATCCATCCAATCTTCCATGTTTCATAACTAAAGGAATTTCATACCAAGCCAAAGCGCTTTCCAAATTGACACTGACCACCATTAGCACCACTAGTTGTAATTGATGACCAACAAAAATATGAAGTGGACAGCATTTTGAAGCATTGCTATCTTTGCAATGGCAGTGTACATCTATAATTTTAGTACAAAGTTCTTTGGAAAGGTTATTCCATTCATAATGCAATATGAGAACCTATATAAAACCTCATCCATTACTAAGAGACAATTTGGAGATACTATTGAGAGCAAAACAAGGACATTCCACATTAATAGAGGAGAATTAATTGTAATAAGGTATAAAAAAGATATTTATATTATTGACATATATAGATCGATAGTTAGAACCATGGAAGTTTTTAGAATTGGGATTAGTTTTGTGAATCAAATAGGATCTATTATAGAATATTCTAAAAAGAGTTTAGGATAATAATTTAGATAGGATCCACCATAGAATCTTCTAAAAGAAATTCAAGATAGTTATTTAAGTGGGATCTAACACCTAAGAATATTTTACAAAGTCCAAGGTAATAGAACAAAGTACAAATAGGATTGGCCAAGGTTTTTTAGGGCATTTGATCAAATATGGCTTTGGACCTTTTTTCTTAATATAATTGGATTTTGTATCTTCTTGTTTTGTTCTGTTCTATCTAAATTCTAATTGCACAATTTTGTCTTTCGTGTTCTATTCAATTTAGTTTTGTTTAGTTTTTTTCTAGTCTAATTTGTCCTACCATATGATGAGGTTTTATGCTGCTGTAGATTAGAAGGATCTTAGACACTTGAAATACATCGGTTTGTTTCAAACAACATCTAAAAGTTTTGCATCCGTAGCAAAGATTATTTCAATTGTCTTGTTATCAAAAAGAAGAATGGAAAAAAAATGGAGGTTGTACAATTTCAATTGATGCTCAAATTAAAGTTGGAAGTCAAAATAAGACATGCCTTAGTTTAAGTTGATATCAAGAACAGGAAAAAATGTCTAATACATGTAATAGAACTTGATGATTTTTTATAAGCTCACAACATAAACCACCTTCATGAACAAAGTTATACAACTTTTATTATATCTACTAAAGCATCTCATATGCAATACAATCTTTAAGACATCCACAAGATATATTCTCATTTAAAATAACACTTAACAAACATAATCAAATATTGATTAAATCCAATTAAATTTTTAAATAAATTATTAAAAAAATATAAAAAAATCATTAAAAAATCCTAATTGAATCTTAATCAAATTCTAAAAAAAATCCTAGACAAATCCTAATCAAATCCTAGATAAATCAAAGATAATTTCTAAGAAAATCTTAATCAAAATCTTAAATTCTAAATCAACTCTAAATCTTAAACAAATTCTAAATCCTATAGCAGATTGAAATCTCTATATGCAACAATTAAACCATTGATTTCAATTCAAATTTTGTACACTTTTTAAAAATTAAGCTAGCAATAATCACAAATATTTTTAAGAAAATAAAACTTACTAAATAGAAGATAAATCCTAAAATCCACTTGGATATTGACTAGCCTCTTTTTCCAATCTTGATATTGATCTTCTTAAGCCAAAATCTCTTAATTCCATTATTAAATACTTCTTAAAATTTAAATATATGTTAGAAATCAAGTCTACTACCTATATACACAAATTTCACCTCAATTCAACTAGCAAATTTCTAAAGATCTAAGAAATCTTCATTAACCTTCAAAACCCTACTTTTGAAACTCCAATCCACTTAAACTTCAATAACCTTCAATCAAACTATTCAATCAAATTTTTAACATAATCTTCGTCAAATTTACAACACTCAATAAAAAAAACTATAGTCTCAAATCTACAAATTTTTATATGTAGATCTACTACCAAATTCACAATATTCTCTTAAATATAATTTTTTTTTTTTTTTTTTTTTTTTTTTACAAAACTAGATTCATAGAAAACAACCTCAATTTTGCAAAGCTCTTACAAAGTCATTACAAACTAAAATTGCTCAAATCTAATGTTCAAAGAAACTCTATGAAGTCTTCTCTCAAATCTCACTCTTTGATTTATAGAAAAACCTTAGAGTTGTCGTAGGTGTGTCATTTTATACCTTGAAATCTAATTTCAATCCAAGTTGACAATTGGTCCTTTCTGGATATCAATTTTTGATATTTTTAGGTAATTTGGCACCAGGCGGAGGATTGAGATGCTTTCGGCGGCGGAAGGCTGTCAAGCCAGAGGGCTCAAGAGACTGTGCAGCTAACTTGATATCATGCTGCAGCCAACAAGCGCGCACTTAGCCAGTCGTTCCTAACAGTCTCTCCACACAAAACGATCATGCAAATGGTTTGAATCTGAAAAACGCCGCTTACGAGAAAACAACAAGCAAAGCAACAGAAGAAAATAACAAATCTCATCCATTAGAGAAACAAAAACTACTAAATCGGCGGCGAGAGGGGAACACAAAGCCCGAACAGAAAAAAGAAGAGAATTCCAACACCGACATACAGTTGTGATCCATCCATGGCGTAATTTACTCCGATGCATGTATGAACAGAAGCTCTTCAAGGTCGGACAAGGTTCGATGGATGCATCTTGGTTTGCATCGACGCGTTCTGGAAGCTTGTTTTGAAATATCGACCGCCTTGGCAGACAATTTTCAGGTGGAAATGGAAAGAAGTTCCTGGAACTGTCTGGAAGTCTGATCTCAAGTACCATAAAATATATCCATGGAAGCCATGGAGGAAGCAGCAGGAAACTAATTTTGCAAAGAACATACCCCTGCCGATTGCTTCAGTTGCTTCCTACAGGAGAGAGCAAGCAAGGATAAGTCCGTGCCTAAATACCATTGTGTAGATAAGATTTACGTGGTGATATTTATTCTTAACATAAAAAATTGGAGGTTTTTTTGTGTAAAAGTGGTGGCAATTATTATTTTCTTGTATAGAGAGAAAGTGTATTTATTATTATTAATAATATTGGCTTCCATGGAATATTGTGGATGTGTCAACAGCCTTCTCCGAGTTCTAGTAGCGGAATCATCACGCAGATATTATGGCGATGGCTCCAACCGGGGCGGTAAGAAAATGGTCGCTTTGCCAGATTCTATTCCGTTCTAGAAGTTTGTGCTCTTCTTTTAACGGTAAGGTTTTGATTCGGCCAGCGATTGTCTGGATTCGTAACATAGTCATTTGCGAGAGGTCTTTGTCGGAAGTTGACCGCGAAACACCGACGTGCTTGAGTGATGAAAACTAGAGACTTGATTATTTCCTAGAGAATTGTATCGCACTTGTTGATTCGTCGTGCCTTCATTCCATCATCCATGTTCGATTGACTTCAATGAACACCTTCTGCAAAACCCTACGATACGAGTGAAATTCCTCGACTATGTGAAGGTAACTATTGCCTAAAGCTTGCTATGCTCTTGACCTAGCTTTAGGCAATAACTTTGGTTATATTGTTGATTCACGAGTGCTATTGAGAAAGGAGAGCTAAGGGATCACTTTGTGAATAGTGTCCAGCCAGGCACTGTAATGTATGTTTATTTTTATTTTTTTAAGAACAAGAAAAGGGAAGAGAATGTTAGGATCGTATTTATTGAAATTTGTTTGATCCATACGTGATTATTGTCGCCAGACAGATTTAGATTTGCAGCTTTGTTCCAGCTCTTTTTCGTCGACTCAAAGAAGGAAATTTCTTTTTCCGTATCAAAGACGTTGCTGCAAAGTTTTTATACTAACTTTTGTGTCCTGGTCTGAACTTTCCAAGCAGCACATGGTTATTTGAACAGAGGATTCCAGTGTTGACGAGGACAGAATGGTATTTGAAGCAAATGTTGAGTTAAATCCTTTGGTAAACGATTTTTTTTCTTCTAAAAATACTGATCACTTCAGTTCTGTAAGACTATTCTGTGTTGGTGGTATAACTGTGTGTTCTATGCACCTCAGTTCATTATGAGTAATCTAGAATGAGCTTTGCTCCTCAAATCTATAATGTCAACCATAGAAAGAAAGATGGAAAGTGAAGAGGAATCTACTACTTTTGGAGTGGCTGCAAGGAGAACATTGAGAACGACCACTCTACTGTCCAGTGATCTTGGTACCATGGCGGACAGGCGTCCATCGTTAGGGATAGGAGAAGTGGACAAGTTGACAGGAGCAGATGAGTATTATGTTTGGTAGCTGAAGTTGAAGGCACTGTTTAGGTGAGAGAGGTTGTGACTGTTAGCTGCCACGTTGAGAGACTCAGGCTAATTAATTATAATAATATGAGGCAAGTTATGTACAAAGGAACAATTGTTCGATGCAAAAAGCATGGCACATTAAGCACTGGTTCTATCAATTACGGATGGTCATATCACTCCAGTATCAGAGAAGGAGGATCCTACTAATGCATGGGACCTATTTAAGCGCATGAATCTTGCTGGAGGATAACAACAAGCGTTGTTACTGACAAATCAGCTACACAACGTGAAGATGAAGGAAAGAGGGTCAATAGAAAGGTTATATCAATGAAGTGAGAGAGATCAAGAACAAGTTGACAGCGTTCAAAGAGACAATTCAAGACTCCATGGTGGTTTTTGTGATGCTCAATGTACTGCCTAGAAGTTATGATATGGTGAAGTGAGGGTGTCTTGTTCGTTAATGCTCCTACGTTTGAAGTTGTCAATAGAAGACTTCTAACTACCAGTCATCGACTTTCAGCAAGAGAGAAACAATTTGGAACGGAAGAAGCACTAGTAGTTTCTCACCATCGACAAAAACCATCAATTTTGAGGTAGAGAACGTGGATTTGGAAGAGCACAAGGTTATGGAAGATTATTTGGAGAATGTGCACGTGGATCATATGGATTTCTTCCTACGACCATCCACCATCCAACAAGGCGTTGGACAGATTAGAGCAGTCAGACCTCAACGTCAATGTTATAACTGCAAAGATATAGGTCACAGTGCAATGAGTTGCCCAAAGCATTACCAAGGTAATAACCATAGTGCAACCATAGTGCAGATTAGGTCTATGGTGACTGGTCAAGATATCCATCAGCTGAGATTGGATTTGCTTAGATTTAGAATTAGATCCTTGGTTCATGGATAGTGGGGCTAGCACTCATGTTGTTGGAAATAAAAATAAGATAGATCAAATCACTAACACTCTAGTTAGTTAAAGTGTTTAAATGGCATGTGGAGAAATCCATCAAGGTTCAACAATTGGAGAAATAAAATTATATTAAATCTTTATATGTACCTTCTCTTAAGAAGAATTTAATTAAAGCAGGACAATTAATAGTTTTAAGATTTTGTTCTTAGATGATCTATGTTATGTTTTTAATAATGGCTAGCAGAGATTAGTTATAGTTTTAAAGAATTGAAACTTAATCAATAGATTATATAAGTTTAAAAAAAAAAAAAAAAAAAAAAATTGAATATGTGTTAAATATATGGATTACTAGAGAAAAAATAGAATTATGGCATAAAAAATATTGATACTTGCATTATGCAAGATTACAACATTTATCAAGGAAAAGATCCTAGGATTATTAATATTTGGAATTGAAAGAAAGGTATGTGGAGAATGCATGTATAGAAAACAACACATGGAGGGGTTTTTTCAAAAATTATACAATCATGCAATAGAAGTGCTGCAACTAATTCATTAAAATTTAATAGAACTAATAAAAATCCCATCATTATTAGGTTCTTTATATTTTATTATACTTACTGATGATTACTATAAAAAAATGTTGGATTTATTTTCTACAACACAAAAATGAAGCACTTGGAAAATTTTAAGAATTTAAAACCCAAGTAGAATTGGAGAATAAGAGAAAAATAATTACATTAAGAACAAATAAAGGTGATGAATACATGTCACAAGAGTTTAAGAATTATTACAAAGATGCTAGTATTAAAAGATAGTACATAATGGCTTATACTCTATAATAAAATGAGATAGCTAAACATAAAAATAAGATATTAGTTAAATATGGAAGAAATATGGTGGTTGCATCCGTGCTATTTGGATTTTTATAGATTAAAGTTATCAATAATACAAACTATCATATTAACTTAACCTCCATCAAAGCTAATTTTATAGGCTTTTGAAAACAAAGGTATAGAAAGAAATGACTACATGTTGGTCATTTGAGGATCTTTAGATAAATATCATATGTATATATTCTAAAAGCCAATTGTTATAAGATAGAGAGTAAGAGCATTAAGTTTTTTTTTTTTTATTTATTTATTTTGGCTATGATCAAAATAACAAGCAATAGAATTTGTAAGAACCAACTTATGAAAAGATTCAGATTTTAAGAGGTGTTATCTTTAATGAAGAGCAAGTTGGACATTATTATACTAAGAGTATGAATCTAATAGTTGACATAGCAATTTTATTTCTAGAACCTGACTTTGTTTCTTGAAAATCAAAAGATTTGATACTTGTACTCAACAAAGTCATGCTAAAATAGCCACCAATAAATGACAAATTTTTCATAGAATATTTATTTTATATAAGACATATTGTGCATCTTCTATTTAATTACAATTAGCTACCAACTTCTTAAAAATCAAAAAAAGAATAAAGACCAAATACAAATGTTAAAGATATTATCTTATAAATTAAAAGCTTAAAGTTACAAAGAAATAATTGTGCATTCCAATCTTCTATAATATGTTGTCTTATTTAAGAATGCATTGGATATTTGGCTATAGAAGATAAATTAGAAATTGTAATAATAAATATCCTAACAACTCTAATAGAATCCTAAATGAATCCAAATTAAATTTTAACAATTCAAATTAAGTTCTAATAAATTCTTAAGAAATCTTACAAAAACTCTAAAAAAGAATCATAAAAGAATCATGAAAAAATTAAAAATTAAAACTTAAAAATATATTTAGAAAATCATAAATAAATAATTTTAAAAAAATCCTATACATATCCTAAGTAAATTCCAACCAAATCCTACTTAAATCCTAATCAAATTCTAATAAAATTCTAATAAAAACCTTAAAAAATTCTTAGTAAATTCTATTAAAATTGTAATGAAACCTCAAATAAATCATAATCAAATCTTAAAGAAATTCTAACCAAATCCTAACCAAATCCTAATGAAAGTCTAACCAAATTCTAATCAAATCCTAATCAATTATAATAAAATCTTATAGCAAATTAAAACATCAATACTTATTTATTGAATTTTTTATCTTAATTAAAACTTTTAACACATTTCAATCTTAAGCAATAAAAAAAAAACACTCAAAATTTGAAAAAAATTAGATTTCTAATTAATAATAATAATAATAATAATTTTTTCAAGTATTAGTTGTCTTCTTTTTTCAATCTTTATGTTGAATTTCTAGTAGTAATTATTCTTTTTGGAATCATTAAATTTCTTTCTAAAGTTAAAAATTTGTAGAAATCCAAGCTCAATATGCTCCAATTAAATTTTGCTATAGTCAAACTAAAATTTTTTCAAGATCACAAAAAATCTCACTAATTCTAAAACTCATATATTTAAGATCTTAATCTGATAAAATTTCAATATTCTTCAATCTAATTGTTAAATTGATAAAAGTCCAAAAAATATTTGAAACAACCATAGTTATAAATCTACATAATTCTATCCATTCAATTGCTACAACATTCACAAATTTCTCAAACAAATAAACTTCCTTTTATTTCTCAAAATCCATAGTCGTTGAAAATATTTCTATCTTTGAAAAGCCTTCAAAACTTAAAATTGAGGAAAATTACTTAAAATTAATGCTCAAAAAAATTCTTTAAAGTTTTAACTTTGCTTTATTTTTTGATGAGCAAAAAAACCCAAAAATCTTCGTAAGTACATGGTTTTGAGCCTTGAGGTTTGATTTCAACCAAGGTTCACAATTGGTCCTCTATAAGTATTATTTCTTAGTTCTTTTAGTTAATTATTTCAATAAATACTCTCAAATCCTTCTTAAAGATGTCTATATTATTTATTTTATTAATTTACTTTTTTTACATCATTTATGGCTATACAAAGAAAGTAAAAGTCTTTTTATAAAAATAAAATATGAATAGTAAATATTTTATTATCTTCCTATCTTTTATATATTTTTACTACTATGTTTTTCAATTAGGCTCTTCTATAATAGAACCTATATTTTTCTCTTTCACCATATAATTTTGTTATAATATAATACCAAGTGGAAAATTTTAATGGAAGAGGTAAATGTTTCTTTAAAGAAAAATCACACATGGCTCCTTATAGACTTATCATTAGATAAAGTTCTTATTTCTTATGATTGTTTATTCAAAGCAAAGCAAGGATCATCTAAATTTGTTAAAAATCTTAGATTATAATAAATAATAAGAAAAAATGAATATACACATTATTTTAATTTTTTTAATACTTTTGCCTTCATGATTTATACGAATATAATTTGATTTATTTTCTTATTAGCTACTAGACAAGGATGGAAGTGCTAGCAACTTGACATGAAAAATGCATTCTTGTATGGTATACTAGAAGAAGAAGTTTATATGTGGATCCAACCTAGATTTCATAAACTTAGAGCTAAAGGCAAGATTTTGATTTTCAATTAAGCACTTTATAAGCTTCAAGAATCACCTTGGGCTTGATATGCAAAGATTGATGCATATCTACAATCAAGTGGTTTAACTAGGAGTCATGAAGATCCAAACCTACATTATCATGTCAATTTTTATGGTTAATACATATTAATCATGTTATATTTTAATGACATTATTGTCACTAGTAATATAAATACAAATATTTAAAGGATTTAAAGAAAGATGATATAAACATTTGAAATAATAGATATAATTGATGCAAGGTATTATTTGAGTATTAAAATTGAGCAAAGTCCTCAAAGAATATGGCTACATCAAAGAAGATACATTCAAAAAATTCAACTAAGATTTAGAATAGGAACTTGTAAGTTTATAAGTATTCTTATGAGTCCAAATATTGCTTTACAATAGAATATGAATTCCATCAAAAAAACTTAAATCTTTATTATAAATTAGTGAAATATCTATTATTTGTCACTATTATCAAATCAAACATTAAGTATTTTACTAGAATTTTTTCTAAATATGCAAGTGTATCATAAGAAGCATAATTGATAGTAACAAAAAATATAATTAGATATCTAAAAAGTATAATAAAATATAAAATTTGCTATTGTCACACAAATCAAGGACTTTTAAAATCTTACATTGATGAAGATTATGTTAAAAATCTAGATACAGGAAGATCAATATTTAAAAACTTTTATAAATAAAAAAAATATACATATTATTTGATATAACAAGCTTTGATTAATAGTGTTACTATTTACTATGGAAGTTGCATATAAAGCCATAACAAAAGTAGCAACCAATATTTATAATTTTAAGAGATTGATAAAAAAAAAAAAAAAAAAAAAAAAAAAAACTTCAAATAAAAGATAATAGTCCAACTTAAATACTTCATGACAATATGAGTACTATCAAAATAATCAACAATCTAGTTATGCATACAAGAACAAAATACATTGATGTAAAGCATCATCATATAAAAAAGTAATTTTAAAAGAGATTGATAGAAGTAAGTCATGTTCCAATCACAACTCAACAACTATATGTACTTACAAAATTCTTAGCAAAATTTTGTTTCAATAAAAATAAAATACAAAAAAAAATCAAAAGTTTATCCATTTAATATAAAAGAATTATTCTAAACTTAGATAATTCTCTACACATAATCTAGTTCGAAATTCTTGAATTCTACTTCACTTAAGTGACTATACTTCACTAAAGTTACTAAAGTGAATTCAAACTTCTACATTTTGCTCAAATTATATAAATTCTTGATTTTCTACCTTTACATATTCCATAATACTTAGAATAGCCAAAAATAATAGAGCAAGAGAACAAAAACATACAATGCTTTTGCTTTTGCTTAATACACAATCCATGGAGAACAGTAGGAGCAATTTTTTAATACTAGTCTCTTATTGTCTTCACTCATGATCTCATCACAATTGATATGTTATCTGATGAAAAATTCCCTCTACAATTATATCAAAGAACTGTAGAGGTCACTTCCAAATTGAGACCTAGGATAACAAATGCTTGTGCATTACAACATGCATCCTAACTGCCCCAAATTCTAACCTACTGCATGGATGCCTTGCACGAGTTAATTGTCAAGGGCTAAAACTTCCACTGAAGTTTCACACAATTCCTGCTCTACTTGTCTTCGATCCTTCAACAAATGTTTCTCTTGGACTAGTGCTTGGAGTGGTGCAGCATTAACATCCACCGCAACAGAAAGTGATCACCCATTCCAAACAACCTTGCACAGAATACCACCACCATCTGCTCTACAGCAGTTCAAATAGTATATGTCTATCTCCATACATATTCAACACAAGTACTTGAACAAACCAGGCTCTACCACTGGGTACTTCAGCTCACATTTTTGTCGTGTACTCAAATGCTACACTGCACCACATAGTATTTCTGCACAGCTGTACTCTCCTACCATAGGTCCATAAAATGAGGTAATAACTTCGGACATCAAACACCTTCTGATCTTCGCTACCGAACTTGGACAACCTCCGCACAACCAGTCTATACTGAGCAGGATGAATTCAAAGCGCTTTTGAATTCACCACAACTGCCCAATCATCACCTTTTGCTACAGACAACGTCTCACTATCTACACCTGGATTGATTAATTATCTACAACTGAACGCCTGCTCAAATATGACCCCGCGCACCTCACAACCGACTTATGTCGGCACAAAAAATCAATTTCTCTCGCAATGGAATGTAGTGTACATGGCTATTGCCGGCTGCTTCCCCCAACGACGGCCTCCTCCTTTGCAGACCGATTAACCTGCACAAGTTGACGTCATCCAAAAGCTCAGACACACTCAGCTTTCTGAAAAGCCTACATTCTGATCATATTCCTACCCTCGTCACAATTCCACAAAACCGCCTATACAATCAGAAAGACCCATGCTACCCAAGGCCTCTTAACTCGATGCTTCAAACGATTTGATTGTGCTCCAGCATCTTGGATGCACAACTGCGTTACTCACATTCGTGGACAGCAACACTAACAAGTAATTGCGCTCTCTCATGGGTTGACATGGGTTCACAAACACTCACGGTGATCGGCAAACGCTCCTGTTTCTTGGCGTAACGTTTGGCCCATGTGTCCACAACAACGCACGCATTCGAATCACCCCACACGTTCACGGTTGTCCGAACCATGCCCAGCAGCCAGTCCACGGAGTACAGCACCGCCACGTCCGGAATATACTCTTGAAGCCCTAGCGCCTGCGATCAAGCAGGATATTCATCATCATTTTGAACGGATCCAGACATTCCCCGCAGAATGTAGAAGAACTTCAAGGTCCAAGTGACGTGGAGAGGTGGAAATCTCACTGGTCAAGAAGTGAGCATTACAGGATTATGCTCATGTCACAGACAGGAATAACAATTTACATCCAAACATAAACGTAACATGGTTAGATGAATTCCGTGATCAGTTTGTGTGTCGATAAGACACCTGCAGGATTGTAATCATGGATACAAGAGCAGAGTTGGGAATGGATGCAGAGCCGATTGCTGCCAATGTGGCTGTCAACGCGACCACTACCACGCTTCCAATTGACAACGATAAACCATGTGCCTGCAACCAGTATCGACTCAAATCGTCGAAGTCAGGAAAACCCCCATACGACCTATTCACTTCCAAACTCCAATCTTTAACCCATGTCAGATCTTGACAAAGTTTGATGGATACTTGGATTCATGCAAATCCGTTGGACAACTGCTCTGAAGGTAATACGTATATTCTAGTCCGACAAAGGTTGTGAATTCAGCCTGAATTTCCTCTGGAAATTCCCACACTCTAAAGACCCTCTGGACCTGAAGGATGTGAACATACTATGACTAAATGCAAAAGAATAGGAACTTAAAGCTCACACACCTGACAGATGAACATCACCGACACAGCTTCATACAGAGCGGCACCGTCTCGATTGATGTTAGTGCCCATAGGAATGATGAAGCGCACAATGCTGTTAGCGCATCCATACTCCTCAGCACATTTCATGGCAACTGGCATACTTGCCGCACTCGAAGATGTTCCGAACCCTAACAGCAGTGCTGGCGTAAACTTCCTGCCACATTTACATACGATGATGATGATGATGATGACCTGTAAAGCGGACAAGGACAATGATCGTGAGATTCAATGTGGGAAAGAAATGAAAGACGCGACTTCTAACAGAATATATACCTGAAAATTTTGAAGGGATTCTGCTGGGACAGCACAAAAACGACGGTGGGAATCACCACACAAGAGTGTAAGCCAAACCCTACAATCACTGTGCCGACGTACAATGCCAGAGCTTTTATGAGCTCAACAAGACTGCAAGACTTCAGAATGGTGCTTGCCAGCAGAGACGCCACTCCAAGTGGTGTCACTGCAATCACCATATAAATCTGGGAAAGACATGCACGCGGTGTTTAGTATACTTAATATGATGAATGCAATTGAGCCTACAAGCTCTGAAATTCATATGAATACGAATGAAGAACCTACTGGGATATTGCCGTTATGAGAAATTCGTCAACGAATGTGTTTCCATATTTACGACTTTTCGCTCCAGATGATAATATGTAAAACTTAGTTCCAGAAAAGGTGGGCACTCACGAGCTTTAGAAAAATTTCGTTCAGAAGCTCAAAGGTACGAATAAGTTGCTCTGCTCTTTCACCTGGTAAATCCAAAACCAATTATCTTTAAATGCAAAGTTCTATGCCACAGGCAGCTCATCAGCTTTCAGAACTTTGTAATCGTTCAACAAGGGATCACATTACCAAGGCGTTGCTGGAACTCTTGACGCTGCCGTTGACAAGAATAAATAGAAACGATGAACAAATGAATCCAAATCACATATGAAATGTCATACCATAGCTGTTGAGTGCGCAGGCAAACACAATTGCAAATGTGATGACTCCCATGTAATTAGGCAGCGCAGCTGCTGCAATTATATTGGTAGGAACCAGGTCACGCCCAATATTCAGCAAGGAGCTAATCGCCGACTTCTCCGCATGCAACAGCCCTCTGCCCAACCCAATATGTATTATTACTTGGTGGCTAGAACATAGCAGTATTGAAATTCATAAGCACTGGAGGTTTAAAACAACCTCAGGGTCCTTTTGTAAAATTAGAAGGGTGGTTAACGAACGAAATCACGACTTAAGCGCACTCACAAAGAGGCAGTTATGTTCGCGTGCTCTCCACAATTCCCTACTTTAGCACTGTTGGTGAAGGGACTGCTCCGTCCCGGTTGAATTATGTACACGAGGGTTATACCCAGGGTGACTGCCAGTAGCATTGACATCAAGTAATAAAGCAAAGACCATCGAATGATTCGTCCAGCTCTGCACGCCACAATCCAAGTGTTCTTGTCAATCATAATGGGGGAAAAAAAATACAATTCATGACCAGTTTGACACTGGTGAGGTTTATTATTGTGAGAGAGCATTGAAGGTCATGTACCCGCTAGAAGAGTGACGCAGGTTGAAGACACCGCTCATGAGGGCAAAAACCATCAATGGTAATACCAGCTCCTGCAATGCCCGGATCAACAGCTCACCGGGATATCCTGCGCTCATGATTGTTCGTAGGTTTGTTTAGATAATCATGCTGAGTGCACAATGGGGACACTAAGCTGACACTTCATTACAAATTATTAGCTGCTGAAATCCGTCTATCGTATCCATTGCAACGCATGTCTTGTACGTTCCCTAGACTTGTGTACAGACTCTACGACAAGAAAATCTAACAATGAAACTCAAGCTTTGTCGTTGTGGGATGTACCTATGAGTTCGATGGCCAGTGGAGAGAGATGCGATTGGTACATAGAGAGACCACCGATCAAGCCGAAGCTTACTCCCAGGAGCGTCCACCATATTAGCATCTTCATTTGGAAGCAGTTGCTCCGAAATTGCTGCCATAGTGATTTCTTCACATTACCTGCCGGAGACACAGGAGGATCATCACAATTTTCAGAGTGAAAAAAACTCTTGACATAACACCACATGCTCAGACAAGTGATCAAATAGAACAGATAGATCTAATAGAACAAGATTAATCTGAGATAAAAGTACTCCAAGATCCTGCAAGCCTATGTGCAATACCAATACATGTCTACGTTGTTTCACGATATTGAAAGAAGGCAAGAATCCATTCCAGACGATTCAACTTTAGTACCTGTTTGAAGCAGAACGTAGCTAGCATCCACCTCAGGCATCGCAACGTGCACCATGGCGGCAAATTTCTTCTACGATGGAATTTGTTTCGCCTACAAGACATTTTTCATTGAAAAACACCCAAAGCAGCGTCAGAATATACTGTCTGTGGGCTCAGTTTATAAGGACAGTCAGCATCGCGCTCAAAATTGTAGGTAACATAACGAAAGCACCGTTCCAGGGAAACACTGGACATAAAGTTCTCTCAATCTGTTAACACCACCTAGTCGTTGTCACAGTCTTAGCTATGCTGCCTCTGGTCCTAATTCAGAATAGGAAAGTGTTTTCATAGAAGTGATGGTCCATTATACAATTTCTCAAAGGTTATGCTCTCAGAAACCAGATTGATGAGTGATGAGCGCTCAATCAAAGGAAGTGCAACAGCAAAAATTACAATTGCTTTGTCAGCTCAGGCCACTACGCAGTTATCATCTTAATAATACAAAAATAAAAATAAAACACACACCCAGAGCAGTGCCCGAAAATAATTTGAGACTTGGAAGTGTCAAAACAATCCCAAAGTAACGGCTAAGTTCAACAGGACGTTGAGGCAACGTGGACACGACGGCTAAATTAATGAGGCGACTCGGCGCACAAGACCGCCAGCAAATCAATGCACTCAGACAACCCAAAACCCTTAAGCCTCCAAAATTCACACCACTGCTCAGGCTCAGATGAATATTACACCTATTGATGCCAGAACATACCACGAGAGGTTCTCCTCGCACACGAATTTCCTCACTTTCCTGAACGTCGTGAATCAGAAGTTTGTCATCTGCAAGCTGTGCGATGCAGCCTGCACAGCCCCTTTCAGATCTACACGAGACACAGCAGCAATAATAAAGACCGTCTGACGAAAAAGAGAGTTCTGGACGAAAATCTCTAACTACACTAGGAGAATAAACGCTACTCCACGAATCGTGCTTCTCGAAGAATAAAATGCCAAACCCTCAGGTCTTACAACTTATTATTTCGCATGGGTCTTCACTGTGCAGATTGATTGTGATAAACTCTTACCACGAGATGAAGTTCTGCCCGATGATCGTTGTACTCCCTCACGACCTCTTTGTGAGGTTGCGAAGCACCGGCTCACTGCACCATTGGCTGCCCTCGCAGCACGCCTCCGAGTAGCCGCGAGCACCGTCGAACTACCAGTACTGATAGACACCACCACCTTTAGAAGTCCGCCGCTGCCTTAGACAATCGATCAAGCACCCTGAACTTCGCTGCAGCACCTTGCTGTTACCGAACCAGCAAGTAAACAAACCCCAAACAATTCCAAAACGATTCGTATCGCCTCGAATCTCGTCTCACATCACGCAAACAAACCATTAAACAATTTGGGACCCTCGGTAACTGCCGTGTATGAGAGGAACCTTTCCTCGTTTAGGTGCATCTCGTGAAAAATGATGGATTCTTCTCAAGCACGTGAACTGGAATTTGGACATGTTCTCAAATGAAATAAAAAACTCTGGAATTGCTCATTTATTGTGTAAGAGTGTGTACTTATTTTAATATACACATATATATATATATATATATATATATATATATCAAAGAAAAGAAGAAGTTATCATCACAATGATTGGATGACTGGGGCACACCACGGCCCAGATTATTGATTTTCTTGTTTTCATTGAGGCTTGTGGATGCAGGACAAGTGAAAAAAAAAAAAAAAAAAAAAAAAAAAAAAGGTGGCGAAGGTCAAACTTGCAAATGTGTTGAACTAGTGACACCTCCGAATTTACTTTCTGCGCAGAAACGGAATCGTAGATCCAGATTCTGTGATGGTAGGAGGAAGAGTCCGCTGGGCTTGGCAATCCCTGTGGTCTAGGTAACAGCTCGGGGGGATAAAGCTCCGGCTGTTGATCGATATCTGCAGCTTGAGACTAATCTACTTAGATTCCGCTCGACTCTCCTGTCGGACAGTTAGCAACTCTTGAAAGACCGCGCCATCAGCGGGCCACTTGCTTGGTCGGTAAGTATCCCAAGCATGCGTAACTGCGACGTGTCGTGAATCGAAGTCCTTCCACAGCCGCAGGAATGAATTCTCTGCGAGCTCCAAACAATAGACAGGGAAATTCGAAGGGTTGAAAGCTCCGATTTCGGCTGACGAACGATGGTGTAGTCACGTAGACCACGAGTTCGGCCAGCTGGGCGGGAAGCGTGGAAAAGTCTGTCTCAGATTCGTACTCAACCATTCTGCTCCTCTGGTTCGACATGAACAGATGCTCTTGTGGCCTATCTGGTCGCGCGCCTGCAACCTGTACTGAGTGCTGGCCCACTGACGGCGGCTTTTCAGGTCTCTTCCCGAGTCTCGTGCCACTGTTGTGGGAACCAACTGTTAAAGTGGTGAATAAGTTATTTGCGAGCGGACCTCGAGCGAATCCCACCACAATTTTTTTTTTTTTTTTTTTTTTTTGTTTTTTTTATTTGTTTTTTTTTTGTTTGGTTTTGGAAGAAAGCTAGAACCGTCTTTGGAATCTGTGATGCCAACCACTGCGAACTAATCAGCAGTTTGCATTGCGCGATGGTAAAAGCATATTCTGAGATGCGGTTGATGGGTTTCAGAATCATTCGTTGCTTTGTGTTCAACCATGGTGCTCCTTTCGGGGCCGGTACTTGACGATGAATCTGTTGGCCGTGACCACCTCTACGGTGTTCGGCTGAAGCAGTCCATGGCTCTCTGCAAGCCTGATGATATCTCACCGCCTCATCACAAGTCCCGAGGTTTGTAGAGATTTTTATCTCGTGAATTGAATTGATGAACCAAAAAAATCCGCTGCATGCAATATTCGCAGCCTGATTCTAGCCACAGTTGGTTCTTCTTCTTAATTGCACCGTACGTTAGTGTCAACAAATTGCATCTTATCTTCTTCAGCGCCGCACAATCCCACTATTGGAATTGCCTGTGGGTGGGCAAGCACTTTCAAGGTTCCTCTTGCAATGATTCCTCTCGAATTCCATCCTGCGTTAGATTTGACAAATCTTACCATGTCAACGGGAAAACCTCACCATATGAACTTGGTTGGTTGCCACGGCTAAATTCACGGCCTCGAAAAGGTTAAGCATCGAATTTGTTTTCATTTCAAGCAAATACTAAGCACGAAGTTAACTTCTCATCGACGAATGGTGAATTTGCGGGGCTAAGAGCCCTTAAGGGAATTCACCACACAACGGCACCAAGAGTATTGTTCAATCGATCAGTAGGTCTCGAACACATACATCCTAATAGCATCAGCGGAATCCGAACCTGCGGCACGAGCCCACAGAGCGATTCCTCGTGATCGAACCCCCTTCGAAAAACAAAACCATGGGGATCACCGCGAGCTTGCGATCATCCGGCATTGAAATCACCACCCCTCCAGCATTGTTCCAGCCGCATCCAGGAAGCGTTCCACGATCGGATTCGCCATTGCTCGGAATGCCCTCATGGATAATGCTTGCGAGTATCGAAGGATTGCAAAAGCAAGAGCATACAGATCGCAACTCTTTCGACTCTGAACCATCAACAATAACAAATCGCTCCCAAGGGACTGCAAAATCTTGTGACCCAATTCGCCTCGCAATTCTCATCAATCGGAGTGTTTCAACCCTAAACCTAACCTAATTTAGAGGAATGATTTTGAAGATTGGTGTAATCATTTTAAGCTTTTTTTGCTTGGATTTCTACTAAAGAATGTAAGATGTTGTGAGGGTAGGAGGAAGATGGTACTTAAATGGAATCTATTTAGAAATGTAGATATTTCATGTGTTTTAGAATTTTTATTAAAAAAAAACAAACAAATTTTATATAAAATTGTAACTGATAGTTCTATTTAAGGTTTGAGATACTTAAGTTGTTTATTATTTGTACAGTTTATAAAAAAATTAATTTGTTTCTTAATCAAAATTTAGATTTTTTATACTCTTTTTTTTTTTTTTTTTTTTTTTTATTCTAGGAAAAATATCACACATGCTCCTAAACTTTCTCAAAATATCAAAAATATCAAGAATATCCCTCAAGTTTTGATAACATCACACATGCCCTTCAACTTTGTGATAATTGCAAATTTGTCCCTTGGACTCATAACCTATCTATTCCTATTTCTTTTTATAGTTTTTATAGGGAACTAAAGCCTATGCTTTTTCTTAGTGCTTGGGCCCTATGTAAACTCCTTGCTCCTATTCATGCCTCCACTACATTCACCGCTATTACATCCATTATTCAACTCACCTCCATCCCTCTTTTCGCATCTTCCTTCATACACTCTCATTCACACATACATGCCATCATTGAATCAATATAATAAGTTCATCATGGCCTCTACGGATTCTTATACAAATCATACATTAGCTTCAATTCACAACAATTGTAAAAAATCAAACATGGCCATGAACTATTTTTAGTTTGTTAAATTTGTAAATTAAGTTTTGGCTTCTCATACACAATTGCATCGACAAACCACTAACACGAAATAATTGTATCAAATACAATATCCATCTTTATTTTAAAAAAAATAAAAAAATCACAAAATAAAAACTTAACATAAGTATTAATATAGATGAAATTACAAACCAAATACAAAATCTTGCAAAGTAAGTAAAAAACATGCATTACAAAATCTGGTGGATTTTAATACACTGTCACGATGTCGTGTTGTAGTTCGGCTACTATATGAAAATAATATAATTATGTACTTAATATATAATTTATTAAGTAACATGGTGAGAGCCATGTTAGTAGATTTTAATTGGTTGTAGAATAAAATTTGATTATTACTTTGAAAAGAGGTTGTTTAAAAAGATTACTATAGAATTTGTATAACTTTAATTTCTTTTTGATAGTGGCTTTTAAGATTTGTTTTGGTTGATAGTAACTTCTAAATATTTAGAGTCACCTTTGTTAGACATTGGTGACATTTGAAAACTTATTTTGGTTCTTTTATTTGGTGTTTAGAGCATACATTATGTAAATCTTATAAGAAAAAAGATTGAAGAAGGATTTTGGTAGCAAAGGGAGTAATTAGGGCACCAATATAGATGAATGGAGATGAAAAATAAAAATCTCCATTCCTATTGGTCAAAAATCATGACCAATGGGCTTTGAGGAGGCTGCCCGAGGCCATATTAGGGATTAGGGTTAGTTTCTCGAGGCATTCGAAGATTGAAGGCTAGGATCAGAAGTTTTAGGTTTTTGGTAAAGGTTTTGGTGTAAGTTTTGTGTCATTTGAGGTTTTTATGAAGAAGTTATAGGCGCTCAAAGTTAAGATGTTAGTTTTGGACCTACTGTCACTCTTTTGGGCATAACGCACGCGTACGGACGGAAATTGAGGATCGGCGACCGCGACTGGAGAGAACACTTTTGCGGCTATACTTTTCACATATTGCTTACTGGATTCTAACTTGGGGTGAAGGAGTTATTGGATTTTGAAGTCAACACATGCAATCTAAGGGTAGTAAGTAAACCGATTTACTAGTGTTTGTCTCTTGAGCTATATCTTGAGCAATTTGACATGGTTTTGGCTCAAAATTTCAAGGAATGTGTAATTTCATGTTAATAAACTTTGTGTGTAAGTTTTATGACATTTGAAGTTCGGATTTTTGAGATATAAGGAAAATAGTTTTTCAGGTGCTTGTAAATTAGGGTTTGGAGTGTCTACTAGGGTTTCTTAGATGCCAGAAGATCGGGAGTGAATTTGTGGTTGGTTTTTTTTTGGTAAAATTTAAGGATAAATTAAACCTATCTTGTAAATTTGAAACAAACTGAATGGTTAGATCAATAGTTATGATTTTCTAAAATTCAAGGCAAGAAAATCCTTCGCGGGAAAAATACGTTTTGAAGGGATTTTGTTATATTTGGAGTTTTATACAAAAATAAAGGAGTTTTGGAAGCCAAGAAAAGAATCATATAAAGGTTAAAGGTACACTCTCTACAACTAGACACCCAGTGTATTCCCAGATAGCAAATCATGCCATATGACAACGGATATATATATTTACCTCAATAGTTACTTATATGATTAAGTAGAAGTAGATAAATATAGAATAATTTCATAAATTCTTCTAAAAAAGCTTCTTAGAAGCTTCATAGATGTGGTTTTGACTTTAGATGTATTTGTAGGTTAGAAACTTGACCAAAAAACTAACCATGTATTGGTAGCTTGAAGAACAAGTTACCTCCGTGTAGTAGCTTGTGGAACAAGCTAACAATGTGGCGTATACATAGATAACTTGCCTTATAAGATAAAACATGTGGCTAGCAAAGTCAACACATGTTGAAGGTCCTATAGGATATCGCCACGTAGCTCTTAGTTAGATAGTATATATAGAGGCAAGATTGAAGCCTTCTTCACTCTTGTCAATGCCTTTCTAGTCTTAGTCTTGTTTCAAGACTTTCTAGTCTTCTTGTTTTTGGCAATAGCCATTCTAGTTAATATTACATCACCTTTTGAGAGACTTTCTAGTTCTCTTTAGTGA